CTCTTTAAGGGATTCAAGATGGGAAAGGTTGACACCACTCTCTTCACCAAGAATGACTTATTTGTAATTCAAATCTATGTTGATGATATCATTTTTGGGTCAATAAATAAATATTTTTGTGAGGAGTTTGGCAAGATAATGGCTAGTGAGTTTGAAATGTTCATGATTGGAGAGCTTAGCTACTTTCTTGGTCTTCAAATCAAGCAAATAAAGAATGGCACATTTGTGAGTCAAGACAAGTATATCAAGGACATGCTCAAGAAGTTTAGAATGGATGATGCTAAAGGTATTAGTACACCAATGGGGACAAGTGGAAGCTTAGATAGTGATGCTAGTGGCAACATGGTAGATCAAAAGATGTATCGGTCTATGATTGGAAGCCTACTCTATGTGACTGCATCAAGGCCAGATGTGATGTTTAGTGTATGTATGTGTGCTAGATTTCAAGCCCCACCAAAAGAAAGTCATTTGAAGGCAACAAAGAGAATATTGAGGTACTTGAAGCATACACAAAATGTTAGATTATGGTATCCCAAAAGAGCAAGATTTGAGTTGATTGGATATTCGGACTTCGATTATGCGGGATGCAAAGTTGAGAGAAAGAACACATCGGGCATATGTCAACTATTGGAAAGATCACTTGTGCCTTGGTCATCAAAGAAGCAAAATAGTGTAGCACTTTCAACCGCCGAAGCGGAGTATATTTCGGCCGGTAGTTGTTGTGCTCAATTACTTTGGATGAAAGCTAACTTAAGTGATTTTAGAATCAAATTCAAGCAAGTGCCATTGCTATGTGACAATGACAGTGCCATAAAGTTCACCAACAATCCGGTTCAATATTCAAGAACAAAGTATATTGATGTCCGCCATCATTTCATAAAAGATCACCAACAAAAAGGGGATATTTGCATTGAGAGTGTGGGCACCGAAGATCAACTTACCGATATCTTCACCAAGCCACTTGATGAGAAGAGTTTTTGTAAGCTAAGGAATGAATTGAACATACTTGACTTCTTCAATATGTGTTGATGCACCCCCCCCACTTATATGACATGCCTCTCCTTCGAGCAATCCAAGATAAAAGTTGATTGGCATGGCATACATCCTTGCTAAGGACATGTTTAGTGCATCTAGACATATTTCATATTTGAATAGGCTCATTCATGAAAATCGAATGAATTTGATGCTTGTATGGTACCACTATTGCTTGTATGTTTGAAATGATCTAGTGGTAGCATATGACATGTTTGTTGGCTTGTAAACCTAGTGTTTGATCTAGAAAATAAGCTATAAGTGTTTAACTCAACATGGTACAAGATAACTCTTATTTGGAGGTGTGAAGAAGCTTGTCATTGAATCAAACCGAGTTAAATATCTTTCGCAAGTAATCTAGATTGAAGCAAATTGAAAAAATGATCCTCACTTCACATGGTTTCACCCTAACCTACTAAAATTTGAACTCGCCTTTTGTGCTAATTGTTGACAAAGGGAGAGAGAAGTTCACAAAGATAGTAAGATAGGGGGAGCAAACAAATGAAATGACATTGTAAGGGGATAAATCAAAATTGCACACAAGTAGGGGGAGCAAGCTTATAAACTTGTATATTGTATTCAAATGTGCATTTCATCTATTTGCTTGCATGACACAAGTTTTAAATTTTAATATCCATGCTTGTGTGGTGTATGCTAGTTGTAGGTTTGAATGATGAAATGAAAAACTAGCATGCATGGGTTAAGTAACTAGACTCATGCTTACATTATGAAAACTAGATCCTTACTTCTAATGTTGATCTCACGGGGTATTCTAATTCTTGTGTATGTCTAGTCATTAATGGTGCTAAAGATGGTATATTGGTGCACTCCGATTGGTATCACGCTTCAAAGGTCCATCTCTTATACCTTAACATCATATGGTAGACATTGACTCATATATTTCCTATCTAAGCATATGTGCAAGCTACAATCCAAACTCTTAGTACATATGTAAGAGGAGCAATTGCTACTATTTGGGATTCATGAAACTTGTCCATACCCTTTTATACATAGTAAATATAATTGGACAAATAATATGAATTCAATTAAATTATAATTTATATCTTTGTGAAAGAGTTGTTATCAATTATCAAAAATGAGAGATTGAAAGCACGGGGGCAGCGGAGTGGCCGCCGGTGCTCCCATGAGACGACGGGATGAGGTAAATAGAGGCAGGGTAAAATGGTCATAGAATGTGAAAAGTTACGCTGAAAAAACTTTAAAGTTGTCTAAAATCATAAAATGGCAAATCAACGTGAACTACCAGTTTCATAGAGGCGTTCTGATGGCATTTGAGTGGAAACCCAGCTGACAGGGCAAAATTCCAGTTTTCTCGTCCCTCTCCGTCCCTATGACCTCTTCCGCCCCTCCGAATCCTAGCCCCGTCCCCACTCCGATCCCCACCGCGAACGGGACCGCCTCATCACCCAAGGATCAGCCGCCGCCGCCGCCGCAGCAGCAGCAGGGGGTGGCCAGGAGGAGGCAGCGGCGGCGGATGGGGGAGGCGCCGAGGCTGCGGAGGCGGGAATAGCAGCCGGTGTTGCGGCCGAGGCTATGGAAGTGGATGGGGGCTCTGGCGCGGGGGATGCAGAGGTGGGCGGCTCGGTGGGAGGAGGAGGAGGAAGAGGCGCTGGGGCGGGTGGAGGAGCGCAGCAGGCCTTGCCGGCTACCGTGTTCCGGATTCGGCTGAAGCAGTCGCCCGCGAGCCTCCGGCATAAGATGCGCGTGCCCGAGCTCTGCAGAAACTTCAGGTGCGCGTGGCTGAGCATCCCTGCGCTTCCGTCTCCATTTCCTTTGTTTATGCCAAAATCAAGTGTTTGTTTTGAACTCAGCTCCTTTTGGGATCAGTGCTGGATGTCAATTATGTTTAAGATTTTGGCGACGGGTGCATGGAATAGTGGAATCACCGACTTCTGAGTCATTATGAAGAGAGTGTGTATGCGGCTGCGATTGCATTATTTGTGTTGAGTCACTCAGTTTTGCGTGAGCTAGAATAGCCGGTCACCGTGGCGGCCACGATGTCGCCCACGACCCGAGTCGTGCGCTCCGCGTGCACCTTGATGTAATCTGTATAAATATCACCCGATGAGGCAATACAACAGTAGTTGGCTCTTATTCTCTACAATTTGTCCTTGATCTAGAACGTTGTAAAACTTTTTTGGAGGGCTCCTGTGGCCGTATATTATTATCTAATAACTTCAGTGTGTTCACTTTGTGAAACTGTACTCACTTCCGTAGCTTACAATTTGAAGACCTGTTTGGGCAGGGGGAGAATTGTGGTGGTAGCGGGGATGGTTAGATCAAAATCCTTTTGATTGTGTTCATTATTTCTTGATTTTCTGGTTTCCTGTTTCTATAACTGCATTTGTCTGGTATGTAGCTAGGCTAGCCAGTTATTTTTATCCTAATCTTACCTGGAAACTAGTTGGTAACTTTTTGCTTTGATGGGGCTCTTCACTGCAGTGCAATTGCTTGGTGTGGGAAACTGAATGCAATTGCTTGCGCATCAGAGACTTGTGCACGTATTCCAAGGTTAGATTTCCTTCACCTTCTTTCTCAGATATGTTTTGTGCCTTGATTGCCTTGCACATGTATCATTTAAAATGTTTAAATGAGGGAGCTTGTGGTAGAAAAGCGCTGTTTCTTTACTTGAGCAGAAACAGTAGGACTGGTAAAATTATAATTCATGTATAAGTAGAGTAAACTATACAAGTAATTTATAAGGGGTGTTTGAGGACTCTGGAAGCAGCGCTACAATACTCGTACAACAGAAGACAAAAGATAGGAAAGTATAGATTGGTAACATAAAAAAATCAAAACATTAAAATGGAGATCCTTCTGATGTCAATGCCTAGCAAAGAATGCTTGAGTATTTACCCTCTTAGTGGCATTTTTTATCCACAGTTTTTTTGTATGAAATATTCGTTGGCATAATGGTCAGCAAGCGAGGGATCGGAAGAGAATTCTTCATGAAAAAAAAAGTCTTCCCATGTGGAGAGTGGAGTCGAGAATCAGGTGACAGAAATTTCTGACCAACATGTGATTCCGACCAGCTGGGGCCTGACCAGCTGGTGTCCTTTCCTTCCTATAAGCTGAAGCATCTCGCCCTCTGTCCGGTCTCGAGGAGCAAGCAGAGGCGAAGCATCAATGGCGCACCAGGAGATCGAGCACACCCAGATCCCCGCCCGCGGGATCAACCTCCACGTCGCTCAGGTCAGCAAAGGTGAGATCGATCGAGTCCTCTGCTGCGTGGTCGTTGGCTGCAAATCCGTGTTCCATTCGGTGCCAACGCAGCGAGCGAGTGGCCGGTGGTCGCTGGACTGCTCTCTCATGCTCGCGTCGTCATTCTTGGCTCGTTTAATTTGTGGCAGGTGAACTGGGGACGGTGGTGTTCCTGCACGGCTTCCCGGAGATATGGTACTCGTGGCGCCACCAGATGCTGGCCGTGGCATGGCGGGGTACCAGCGCCATCGCGCCGACTGCAGCGAGTACGGGCTGTCCGACCAGCCGCCGGAGAACGAGGAGGACTCCTGGGTCTGGGACGACCTCGTCGTCGGCGGACGTGCTCTCCATCCTCGACGCGCTCTCCATCCCAAAGGTAAGAAATGGATCGGATGAGAGATCAGATCATTGCAGTGACCGTGCCGTCACGGGCTACGTAGAGATACGGATCGATCGATGCGTCATCGCCCACTCGAACGTCACGTGCCCGCAGCGTTCTTGGTGGGCAGGACTTGGCGCCATGCCGGCGTACAAGTTCGCGCTGCAGCACCCGGACCGCACCTGCGGCGTGGTGTGCCTCGGCATCCCCTTCAGCCCGTTCCTTCTCCTTTCGACCATGCCCGAGGGCTTCTACGTCCTGCACTGGGGTGTACGTGCCACCTCTGAATCTCTAATGATTGGAGTAGCTGCTGCTCTGGTTCTCCAATTTCTGATCACCATCAGTTCGTTCCTTTTTTTTTCTGCAGGAGCCTGGCAGGGCGGAGGCCGACTTCGGGCGGTACGACGTGGTAGGCGTGGTGCGCACCGTCTCGTGCTCTTCTCCGGCGCCGAGATCCCGATTGCCAAGGAAGGGCAGGAGATCATGGACCTGGCCGACCTGTCCACTCCCTCCCGGAGTGGTTCACCGAGGAGGACCTGGATGTCTCGCCAAGCTCTACGAGAAGTCCGCTTTCGCTACCGCTCCAGATGCCATACAGGTGAGAGCAGCTGTCATCCTGCTACGAGAAACTCCATGGTGCCATACTGCCATTTGCCAGGTTTACCACTTGCTTTCGCGGAATGGGCAGGTCTATACACAAGATGCCGAACCGACTGGACGCCAAGTTCCAGGCCCCGGTGCTCATGGTGATGGGGGAGAAGGACTACTGCTTCAAGTTCCCGGGGTTCGAGACCGCCCTGCGCAGCGGCGTCATGGACAACTTCATGCCGGACCTCAAGATCACCTACATCCCGGAGGGGAGCCACTTCGTGCAGGAGCAGCTCCCGGAGCAGGTCAACGAGCTCCTCCTCGACTTCCTCAAGGCCAAGGGCCCCACCCCGTTGCATCGTGAGAATTACTAGCAGTTGCGGCAATAATTGCGTGTCTATTGCCATCGGATGCTTGGCCCACTGGCTCGTTTAATTTGTGGCAGGTGAACTGGGGACGGTGGTGTTCCTGCACGGCTTCCCGGAGATATGGTACTCGTGGCGCCACCAGATGCTGGCCGTGGCCGCGGCGGGGTACCGCGCCATCGCGCCGGACTGCCGCGGGTACGGGCTGTCCGACCAGCCGCAGGAGAACGAGGAGGACTCCTGGGTCTGGGACGACCTCGTCGCGGACGTGCTCTCCATCCTCGACGCGCTCTCCATCCCAAAGGTAAGAAATGGATCGGATGAGAGATCAGATCATTGCAGTAGTAAAATGGAGATCCTCCTGATGTCAATGCCTAGCAAAGAATGCTTGAGTATTTACCCTCTTAGTGGCATTTTTTATCCACAGTTTTTTGTATGAAGTATTCTTTGGCATAAAATAATTTAATTTATTTCTCCAGCTCCAATTCAAGTCCTCCATTTTGGATTCCTATACATATCCTGAATCCATAGAGACCAACAGAATGCTCTGTATTCAATGTGAAAGCAGGTACATGTCTTTTTATCTGCTACACAAAATATTCTTAACTATGGTTTATTTGCATGTTATTCTTTACTAGACACACATGCCTCAAATTTCAATCCCAGTTATATTTTAGCGGTGTAATTGTACTCAGCTTATGACTGTGTACAAGCAGATGCAGATCAAGTTTGATACTCTGTTGTCTGCTCATGTGAAATAAATAAATCTATTCGTTTTTTTATAAAAATGTTCTGGTCTCAGCATATTTCACTGTACAATGGTGTCGTCAATTGAACAGATTCTCCACGTGACTTTGTTCAGTTCATTGAATGGTCTCCTCGGTCCTGCCCTCGTGCATTGCTAGTGGCAAATTTTCATGGGCGGATCACTATATGGACACAGCCAACAAAGGTAAGTTATTCCCTTGAGATGGATGCATCATTTCTATTTAGAGCTAACTTTGCAGTTCAATAAGAACATGAGTTTCTCTGGTAGCTGCCTGAAACAAAGTTTTATATTTGATGTTATCAAATATTTTCATACTAATCACTTTATTCTGCGGTGAAGGGTCCTGTAAATCTTGTACGTGATGCAAGCTCGTGGCAATGTGAACATGAATGGCGTCAAGATCTTTCTGTGGTGACCAAGTGGTTGTCAGGAATTTCTCCGGTACGTTGGTAACACACATAATACTCCATGCTGTTTACCTTCACTATTTAACATGCCCCATTGTGGTTAATTCAACAATTCTGCTGAATGACCCTGTTTCCAGTTTTCACAGATCAGATTTCTTGAGCACCATAACAGGGCTCAGAGTCATTTTATATTTGTCAAACGCAATATTCAAATTAATTGTAGTGTTTTGTTAAGATCCAGGTTGCTGTTTTTACCCCAGCCTATGTACAGGTAAATACTTTTCAAGGTCATTTCGGTCATCCTTTATTGAAAAGTGCTACTACCTAGATATGACATATACACATGCCTTGGTTATAGACTTATAGTTGACAAGTTGTTTTGGAAAGGGACAGGGTTGCACACACTTTGGGGGGTGGGGGGGGGGGGGGCATCAGGAAGATAGAATCATATCTCGAATTCTTTATTAACATCTTAAAAAAAGAGCACAGTATTGGGTCTGTGTGAGGCCTTATTTTTTAGAAAAGGAGGTCTCCCCTGTTTTTTATTTAAAAAAGAATAACAGTGCAAGCATAGCGTTTAGGCGCGCCCGCCATACAGGTTCAGCCATAAGGCAACAACTCCGACTCACTTATCACATCACAGTCTACTGACATATCCTGATCATGCCGATCCGAACTCACAACGCTGGAGACCGAACGCTGAGCAACCAATTGTGCCGACCCTGATGATGAGTCCTCCAGGTTGTGCCACATGATCGGAGGAGGAGATGCAGCTTTTACTTCCAGTCGATTGATCAGCTCCTCTATCTTGTCCTTCATCTCCTCGTGCAGCATCGGCATCTACCTTCTTAGCATTCTGGCAATCTTGAGTAGCATGCTTTTGAGTCCCATCCACTTTGTTCCCTGAAAACAGATTTCATTCCGTAATTTCCAGATAGACCATAAAACTGCTGAAGATATAGTATTAGTAACTCATGTTTTTTGTTAGACAACCAGTATCTAGCAACAGATTCAAAATCCTGTCCCAAGCTCAAACCTAGGAAGTCAGAAATAATCTCCCAGACCCAACCTGCCACACAGCATTCAAAGAAAACATGCACAATAGTCTCCGATTCTGAGCAAAAGAGGCAAGTAGCATCCCTTATCTCCCTTCTTTTGGCTAGATTATCTCTAGTTAATAGCCTATTTTTGGACAGGAGCCATAAGAAGAATTGCACCCTCGGTGGAATCACCAGCTTCCAAATAGAACTAATATAGACTGGGGTAACCCCCTGAAGTTTATAACAACATATAAGGACTGCACAGTGTATTTCCCAGAAGAAGTGTAGTTCCAGATAATCTGATCCTCCTCTTCTGAAAAAGTAATGCTATCCATCAAGTTCACCAATTCATACCAAAGATTCATAACATTCTCAGAAACAGTTCTTTTGAAAGTTAATTTCAGATCCACTCCATCCCACACCTCACTCACTGTCTTCCCTTGTTGGTCATTAATGATGTGTGAGGCCTTATTGGCTTGAAAAGAATTGGATTTTAGATAGAAGAATAAGAGATACCAAGCTATAAGCCTTTAACTGCTGCTAAATTTGTTGTTGTTATTGGTCCTGCAGTATAGATGGCTTCCTACAAATTCCACTGGTTCAAATCTGAAGACCTTTGAGGAAAAATTCCTCACCCAACAGCCTCAGAGTTCAGGTTGGTGAACCAATGTCAAGTTTATTATCGAATAGATTTTCTTGGCAGGTTTTGCACATATAATTTACTCCTGAAAATCTGACCTAAGCTTCTTGTTGCAGTGGGATGGCCAAGTATTCTATGTGTTTGTTCAGTTTTTTCATCAGGTTCTGTTCAGCTTCATTGGTCACAGTGGCCTTCTCAAAACTCAGCACATCCTAGATGGTTTTCTACTAGCAAAGGGCTTCTAGGAGCAGGACCCAGTGGCATAATGGCTGCTGATGCTATTGTAACAGAATCTGGAGCTTTACATGTTGCTGGGGTTCTTCTGATGATATATTTGTCAAAACTCTGCTAAAATTTGTCATGTTTGTAATTCGTAGTTTGCACAAGCCTAGGTTCTTCTTGCGTTGCTAATTTACTTTTATTTCTCTCTCTTTGCTGATTACCTGACTATGGGGTGCTTCTGATGCTAGATCATTTATGCATTGTGATGGTCTGTGAAGGCTCAAGCATACAGTCCTCTGGGATGGTCTATCTATACCCAATAATAAAGAAGCAAAATTTTTGCCCATTTTTTTGGTCCGTCCTTTTTTTTTTGGTCCGTCTCCCTCTGACTAACAGACATCAAAGAGTTTTCTCTATCCGGACTTATGTATAACCCGTGCTCATAAAGTTATAACAGCTTTTGTCTAGCACGATACGAAGTGCGATTCCAAAACGTATTGGATAGTGTATGTGACCCGGACTCTTGAGATAACTTGGATAGCTAGAATTCTAATTCTAAACTGAATAGGAATAGAAATCCTGATCATCAAATAGAAAAAGGAAAAACAAAAATACAAATAAGATAAATCTTACCCTGAATAGGTTTGTCGTGGGCTGATTTTGCAGAGGTATATGGCAACAATTATCTCATGCTCTCTCTCTTGGATTGTTCCTTTGCTATTCCAATACGCAATTACTTCATGCTATCTCAGGATTGTATAATTCCTTTCCTATTTCAATACGAAGTCTTCGAATACTTATATATACAATTCCTTTCCTATTCCAATACGCCATCTTCGAATACTTATATATACTTCAACTATTGAACCAACAAAATTATCGTGTCATATCTTTATTGTTATATCGTCTCAAAAAAAAATATTTAGCGTTATATAGGATGTTCCAAATTTGCTTTGCTATTATTTTTTCTACGTCACTTTTTTGGATGGATTTGTTTCCATCACACGATGTTTCTATGTTTTCCTTACGTAATATTTTCTCCTTTTAATTTTCCACTTATTTTTGATTTTTTTTTTGTTTCTTTTTCCTCCACTGTACATTTCGGTTTTCAATTCTGTATGAGACATGATTTTTTTCTATTTTTTTTCAAGGGGTTTCCGATATTTGTTTGGTAATTTTCTCTATTTTAGTGACTTTATTTGTTTCTCGTATGAAGATCAGTGTTTTTGTTTAGTTTTGTAAATGTTTTTTTTTTCATGATGAAACAGGTAAACTAGAAGCAATGAGATAAATCTCAGACGTACTTACGTACATGTACATGATGATTTCTGATTTGTTTGGCAAATTTTTTCTTCTATTTTTTTTCCAACGTACTCTTGTCAATTTTTCATGCGGGATTGTATTTATTTGATTCAAGGTTGGACTAAACTCATTTAAATTTTACAAAAATTGTACAATCACTGAGTAATGAATTGTACACCCCGTTGCAAGATAAAATTTCAACCTATTTTTTTGTTCGTCTTCCTCTAACTATCGGACAATGGTGAGTTTCTTTTGTTTGGACTTAGTTAGAATAGCTCTTATCTAGCGTGATACGGAGTCCGATTCTAAAACATATTGATATGTAATCGTAAAAAATCGTGGGCAAAACAATACATGGTCGACGAGGACACGGTCTCTAAGGCAGAAAATGAAAAAAATCGTGGCCATTGAGGACACAATCTCTCTACGGCAAAAAAGAAAAAACGGAAAAAAGAGACCCAAACAAAGAGTTTGTATGGCAAAAAAGAAAAAGGGGAAAAAGTCAGCATTTATGGAAAAAACAGAAGAAAAAGATCCAAAGTAAAGAAACTTACCGTGGTTTAGTATTATTAGGAATAGATCTTTACTCTTTTTTTTTCCTATATGGATTTAGAATACGATCCTTGTCCAACTTACAAAGGAGGTATCTCTTTGGATTAGAATAGGATTCCTAACTATACTTGTCGAAAAAACAGAAAAAAGAGACCCAAACCACGAGTCTGTACGGCAAAAAAGAAAAAAGGAAAAAAATTATGCCCAATGAGGACAAGATCTCTACGGCAAAAGAAAAAAGTCAGCGTTTATAGAAGAAAACAGAAGAAAAAAAATCCAAACTAAAGAAACTTATCATGGTTTAGTATTATTAGGAATAGATCTCTACTTTATTTTTTTCTATATGGATTTAGATTACAATCCTTGTCCAACTTACTCGGAGGTCAAAAAAAAAAATGGGCTGGTAGGTATATATATACATATATATATAGAGAGAGAGAGATGTACCATTCCTGTTGTTTTCATTAACATTTGATAATTTTTCTCCCGTTATAACGCACGAGCATATTTGCTAGTGAAGTCTTAGACATGCTTGCCCTGTCAGACTGCCATCTGCCCCTTCCTTTTTGTTAGAAATTATTAATGCATTTATGAATGATGCGATATTCCTTTTCTTTGTTTTGTCACAAGTTCGATAGGTTGCCGTTAGATATGTAGTTGCTGGCAGAAAAGAAGGGATCAGCATCTGTACTGCCATTTCACCTATTGGTGCTGTAGCATCATCCCGGTATTCTAACTTTCCTTCCTTACTTTGGTCCGTTTGCTTGATTTCCATTACCTGTCCTCATCTCCTTATTTGTTTTGCAAGGATGTCCTGGTCTGGGGTCTTGCTTATACTGTACCACACCATGTATCTGTGATATTGCCTAGGCAAAGGTTACACACCTCCCTATTCACTCTAGCATCTCATCCTCTTTGTTTGCCCCCTTTAGTATTCTGTTATGGATTTCCTGATTCAGGTCTGCAATGGAAAAAAGAGACTTATGAGACTTATTTTTTATGGTCTATGGCCAATTCCCTCGCAGTTATGGGACTCATACTCTTTACTCTTACTTAACTCTATGCGCTTACTTAACTCCATTATGTACTGCTGTTAGCATAGAATTTTTACATTTATTATAAGCTGACTTTCTCTCATGAAACATGTCACTTACAAGGCTACAATTTGTGTTGTATGCAACAATTATTTTGTTATCAGATCCATGCTTTGTCTCCTTATTTTACTCTATTTTGTGGAGACTAAATACTTGCAATGCTGCTGCATTTCTAAGACATGATTATATATATTCATTTCAAATGGATACACATTATGTTCAGAACATGGAAACATTGAGACTAAATACTTGCAATGCAATGCTGCTACATTTCTGAGACATTATTGTATATACTCTCACTTCCCTCCATCTTCCGTAGGTTCTATGGACTCATCGGAAGGAAATGGCCTGGATAAACTGCAGCAGTAACTCACAGCCATGCCTTGACCTCAAGTGACATGCCACTGAATCATGTTACGGTCATCTACTTGGTTTATGGCTCCATTTCATGGGCTCATCTATTGATGTATCGCCACTAAGTACATCTACTTTAGGTTTACTATATTCTGAAGGTTGTACCATACTACAGCTATTATGCATGTAAATATATGAATATGTACTTGCTCCCGTAAAGATTATACATTGCGGTCTATATATTCTCCATATTCGAAATCTTTCCTGTTGCCTGCCTACGCGCGTGATGGCGCGCGCCTTGTACTAGTTTCCATTGTGAGTGGAATGGGAACACCAAATCCATCCAATACCTAATTCAATTACAGCTGGGTTGCTTACTGAAATTTGACCGCAAAATGTCAGAGCAGGATTGATAGTGGTTCGTGATTGCAGCAAGATTTGGATGGAGATACAGAAGAACTGAAGAATATATTACAAAACAAGAGATATGGCCATATGGTATGCCTAGACAATTAATTTGACCCGCTTTTAAGGGACAGGGGCCGTGTTCGGCTGGCTGGCTGGCTGATTGCCGGTTGGCCAGCCACCTCACAAAATTACTATTCACGTCCTGCCAGAACAGTATTTTTCTCTCACAACAATCAGCCGAAACAGTATTTTTCAGTTCTGCCGAACAGGCCCAGGAATTGAAATTTGACCGCAAAATGTCAGAGCAGGATTGATAGTGGTTCGTGATTGCAGCAAGGTTTGGATGGGGATACAAAAGAACTGAAGAATATATTACAAAACAAGAGATATGGCCATATGGTATGCCTAAACAATTAATTTGGCCCGCTTTTAAGGGACAGGAATTGATGCATTTGCTTAATTGTTCTATTTTATGAATAAATATCAAATAAGTTTGTTTTTAATATGGCCCGTAGCATTAGCACGAACAATATACTATTATTTGTAGTATGCGAGACATGGCTTATTATGCATTGTTATGTATGTGTGTTTTTCGGATTATATATGTAGTCATATAGAATTGCGTGAATTAAACTATAGAAAAAATATTGTCATCTAGTTATTTTCATGTGCATCCCAAAAATAAAGCCGTGCCATTAGCACGAGTAATATACTAGTAACACTAAGAGAATGATGTTCTTCGAGTAAAGGTTATGCAAAAAGAGTTGATTATGTATTATTTTTATTCTATTTTTTTTTTTTAGATCAGGAGGCCCTATTTAAAATTTGGAACAGTGCTGCCTTATTATTAATATATAAGCAATTTAATTAAAGCACACCAACGAAGGCACTTGTCCATTTGACAACAGCTCATGTTCTACATTTCATTACACCAGCAAACACTCTTCAGATCTCACAGCAGCTGCTCCCGGAACACCCTCAGCACGTCCGCGAACGTGACGATGCCAGCAAGGCGGCAGTCGTTGTCCTCGTCGAGGACCCACACGTAGCTCACCCGGTGCGCGAGGGCCTGCACCATGACGGCCACCAGTGAGCTCGCGGGGCTGCACACCACCGGCTCCTCAGCTGACCGCCGGCCGTAGCTCCCCGACGACGGGCGCCTCAGCTGCGCCCGGCCTGCCTCCTCGTCGGAGGACGAGGACGCGGAGGAGAGGGACGAGAACGACGACAGCGTCTCGTCCTCAATCAGCGCGAGCATGGCATCGAGGCCCTTGTCCTTCAGCCCGGCCTTGACGGCGCGCAAGATGTGCTCCGGCGGCGACCCGAAGTAGTCGACGTAGGCCATGAGGTCCGCCGCCGAGAGCGTGGCGATGGCTGCGGCCGCCGTCTCGTCGCAGGCCGCGAGGAGGGCGGGAGAGAT